TTTCCCAGTGGAGCGTTCTGTCAGTTCGAAAAATTTTCAGTTGACAAGTGAGTATTACATCCAAAGTAACACCTGCGCAACAAATTGGACTTTCGTTGTTGGGCGCGCTTCAAGTGTTAATGCCAAACCTCTTCAGCTCGCACACCTAAACTGAAGCGCACCCAAAATGCTCCCAAACCAGAACATGTGTGTGAACTTCTGGTTTCATATTTTTTGATTGGAACATAGCAGCTATCTGTTGATCGTGATGATGCGCCCAGCTGGATGGGACTCAGTCAGGGACAGGAACCACTCGTTATAAACAAAATATCCAAAATATATAAATTACAAGAGATCTGCGTTTTTTTCTGTCAAAATCGCAGGATGGTTACACTGCCATGAGCACTGCAATCTGAGAAAATTTTCACCTAGGTGTGTACATTCCGTTTATAGATTTTCTACGAAAATTATTTACGACATGCCGGCCATATTTACATATTCGCATAAATCCATTCCAAAATATAATATAGAAGATCTCATTGGAACTGGATCTCCGATTGTAGAATTCGCAAAACCACGAAGCGTACAAATGAAAACATGACCATGAGTACCGTGGTAGCAAAAATGATTTACAACGGACCATTTACCAAGATATCCGAGGCGTCCGACAAGGAAATTTCAAAGCAGACAAAAAGTAGTTTCATACGCATTTCAGTATATCTGGCGAGGAATTTTCACGGAGGATTGAGGAAAAAGCGGATGAACCGATTGTTCAGCAATAACTCGACACTTTCGCCAAGGACTTAGTACAGTACTCGCAGGGGATTTCAACTTTGTGGTTCATGCTTTTAAAGCATCGGAAATAAAGCAAGTTTAGTAGACCTTCAGAAGAACAAAAGTGACTTACACAATGGAGCGTACTCGGAAAGCAGGTAGCCCAAGCTGACAACTGAAAAAGTATGAAGTAAGTGAGCATATCAAATACAGCTATATTCCTGTGTTAATGTCGTTCTTCACTGAAGTCCTTAACTGTTAGCGGCTTTCCGTGAATTCACCAAACGATCAATTTGATACTTCGGTTAATTTCACATTGTCAATTTCAACCCAAATGTAACTGTATGGTGAGTCTTAGGTAGATAGATATTTGGCGTTTAAAATCCTAAAACCAACCGCCACCAATACGGGCATGCTCAGGTACATCTGCTTGAATTTCCCAGAAAACTCGGAAGGGTCTGATCACCTGTCACTGAACGTTTGCGCCATCTAAACACGAAGATGCGTGTGGCCTCTAAAATGGTAGAAAGCTCAGAATTTCAGCTGTACTCAGATATGAGCAAATGGAAAGACTAATTAAATCAATCGTCATGCGGGGTTGGAAAGACGTTTTTGGATAGAACGTGGATTGAGCTCATTATCGCTTTTGGGTCCAGGTCAAATGAACTATAAGTAGCACGAAGCTAATCTAACTTTTTAATGTCACTGACAAAAATGTAATCGCGTGTTGCTAAGCCCTCAGAGTCTCTGGAGTGTGGGACGATACTTTTGATAAGTACTGAGGATATCTGAGTTGGGTATGGTCCCGGTACGCTCGCGAGCTTGTCACTCCAAACACCTCAAGAATGTTGAACTCTAGTCAAATTCTACCGCAGAGAGTTTCCGGTGTTCTCACAGTTGGTCCCCTCAGCTAGCAAGAAGAAGCAATCACGAAATAAAGTGAATAAAAGACACCCCTACGTATATCCGAATACGCACTACGCAACTCATGCGCATTTCGCTGTAAAACACGCAGCTTGGTGGCGAATTTCGAGGACCGTTTAATTTTCGATATCAAGAGCCAACTCACGATGATTTTCGGCCGTCACATAACTAGCTATATAAAACAGCGTCAAAGACAATCCGCTGATACTCATCGAAAGGGGATTTCGACGTGTGTCTGACTAACTCGACCAGCTCTCGTTGTGTGTTTTATAAGTTTTCTTATGGTTGAGTGAAGGCCTGTTAGCTGAGTTCATCGATCTAGTTCATGAATATCACGGTGTCTGGATGAATAAAGCCATACACGCCTCATTAACCAATTGGCTTCGAGAAACCCTTTCCTGTGTGGTGTGCTTTTCAAGTTTGAGAGCGGATGAATTTGTAGGACAGATGCTTTGGAGAAAACTACTCAGGCGCTCGAAACCGCATGATTTTGTCTTCAGAATGCTAATATCCAGGATTGGATGATCTATCCTTCAGGGGCAATTCTCGTCAGAAACACAGTATTAGGGTGACCAGAATCCACGCTGTATGTCTGTGGACATAGAGAACACGTGTGACAGTCACGTGATGGATAATCTGGGAATTTCTGACATTCTGATGCACCCAGAGGACAATGAGGGACCAGAGAACGCAGGTGTTTCTGAACTTGTTTCGCAATTTCCTCTATTCACCAGTGGAGGAAATTACTATCTTATAACCATTTTAAATGTGTGTTTGCTTACCCAACACCATACGAGAATGCTGGAAGTTCTTCCATTTTGTCCCACCAACCCGAAATCAATTCATCAAATAAAGTGCACTGGGCTCAAAATTCAAGTAAATCCCTCTGGATTTGAAATAGTTAATAAAGTCCTAGAAACATTTGAATCTAACTCGTAAACATTAGACGCAAAACGAACTCTAAATCTACGCCTGTTTTAATGCGCAATGCAGCAACTGAAGAGATCAGAACGTACATGTGAAAGCGCGTGCAGCATTCCGGTGCCCAACAGCCATACCACAGACTGTGCCCAATCCTAGATAGGGAGGTCAGGTTCAAACCCAGGACTTTCCGGTCAATAAAGTCGCACTCTAACCATTGAACCGTCTTGAAGGACCGTGAGTAACCGGTACCTCTCAAGTCAGTCATGGAGCACAAGAGGAATGCTATTCTTTCGAATAAGTTTTATGGTATGAGAATTTCCAAGAATTCCCAAAACCATGCACTCTGAGAGCAACGTGACTCGAGTGCATTTGGTGTGATTCAAAGGAAGGTTCATAATTTGATGCAGCTGGTCGACAGTGATCAATGAGCTGGAACATTCATTTGAGCGATAGGGAAGCTCCGGATAGCGCATCGTGTTTAGTCTTTTGATTTAGCCAGTCCTCAACGCTTGAATGAGAGTGCATTCTACTGAGTTCATTCCTCGAGACCGTCCTGGATTAAAGCATTGCTAAATTGTCCGTGTCAGGTTTCCATATGTCACCCCCAATTTGATGCGGTTGACAAAGAATGCCTCATATTCCAGTTGGAACGATTTTTAACACGTCATGTAGTTCCTAATGCGTCTCGCATTCACGAATGTTTCGACCGACCAGCCTGTAGTAATGTTTGGAAAGAAAGCGTACGTAGCTCAGTACTCGAGGAGTTCCGTTCAAAGTGTAGCACAAATTTAGAAAGTATGATGAAATACTTAAAATTTTGTGAAACCAATCAGTTTCACAAAGTTCAACGCCTTTGAGGGGAAATATAAACCTGAAAAAAAATAAAACCTGAAGGCAGAAGGTGCAACCAATCGGACTTACCGTTCCTGCCCCATCGGCAATTTTGTGTCCAGCTGCCAGTTCCCAATGGCGATTGAACCACATTGACTGCTTGCAACACTAATCCCTGCTCTAGCGTACTCACTTCTTTCGCCTATGTTTTAAGGATTCTCTGCGGGAGCGTCAAGCGCTCCCCCATGACCCCAGCACACACAAACTAGGTGTGTCCCGGTCGTCAGATCTCGCTTGATGCAATATATTTTGAACGCACGTGTATTCCTGACTGCCATTTCTTTTGGTTCCCTATGCAAACCTCGATTGACCAGTATCGGAGGTTAAAATTAATCGTTTTGAGACCGACAATGTTGTCGGAGGTTACGATACCATTTTCAGCAGCTATTTGGAGAACTGCTGATTGGAAGTCGGTTGCTCATACGAAGAGGTAAATTCGAGAGAATGGCGCTCAGTTGGTCATTTATGTATCGCCGACTTTGGCAATTACCTTGCGCGCCTATTGCCACTAATCGTGAGATATCTTGGGTGTACGGTTGAGTGTGTCCAAAACGCGCACATAAAAATAGAAACATATGTAAAGGGCATTTTGTTCAAGATTTTCAATGAGCTAGGTTTCATCTACTGGTCAGGCATTCAGAAAATAATGGGCAATCCCGCCAGCATGAAGAAAAGTCGATCAGATTTAAAGAGAAAGTTGCCTGTCCGATGTGCATGGAGCCATTTCATCAATTTATTTCTTATTTAAAGGTCAACGCATTTTATCGTTGTAGTGCATATTTTCAAACGTTCAACACAAACTTCAAATAACAGCGCACAAGATGCCATGTCGCCTGCAGGGTTGGTGACCATGCCGTCCTTATGTGGTTCCCAGATTCCGATCAAAACTTGATTCTCCACAATATGCACATTGTTGATGCGTTTCCTTCCGGTTTCCCGATCGCTGTGCTGAAATCAATGTTCGAAGTTGGAAAATGCTTCCTGCAATCAGGCCTAGGATCCCCCTGTTTCTCTAATCCTTGTGCCAGTTTTCTTGATGTTGTGGCAAGCACATTGCCGCTACTAGAAACCATGTCCACTGCTGAACGATGTCCGCAATGTCCAAAGTGGACATCGGCATATCTAGCGCGCAGTTCGTGGTGTCGCTTGGCAGCCGACAGGTTAGGAAATCCTTTGCTGCATATTCACCAGTTGTGATGTCCTCACTGATATGTTTGCCTTGTCGGGTCGTTCACTCGATCTGCGCTGGCACAGTCGTTGGCGCTCTGTTTGCTGATTGGCTAGCGTGAAAATCTCCTGGTTAAATATATGAGTTAAGAACTCTTGCTCACCTGTCTCGTCGTTTCTGTGAACCCGTGATCACGGCGAGAGAGGTTCGAATTCACAGCCACTTGATTAGTATTGAACGCTAAACCGTTTGACTGCGTGATGGATTGGTTCCTCACTAACTCCTTGAGTGACGTAAACTCACCTTCAACACATAGGTGACTTGTGATTTATTCCCCGTTGGGGCGGATCCGAAACTGCTATATAGATGGGAGTGTTAGCGTTGTGGAAGTTGTGGAGATTGCGGAGGTCACTCATTAAATCACGCCTCACAAACAATAAAAACCTCGTGAGAACTCATGTTCCACTTTAACCCTAGCCGTCAACGGGTACAATCCCCATTGTCATCGATTTTTGTTTCCGCGGCTACCGCTTGCGCAACGCATCAGGCTTATGAACCGCTAATTAGCACAGTGTGGTTGGACGAGTACCGCCTGTTGTTTTTGTTTTGCCAGATAATTAATGAGGTACTGAAATCCGAATATTTATGTGTCAGGTAATGATCACATTTTAGAAACCTAATTAACAAGAGCGTCTGTTGTATGAGGGCCACCTCCGTTATATTTCTCTTAAAAATCTGGAAACGGTAACGACAACCGTAAAAGTAACAGTAATCAGTTGTTCAAAGTTCGATATTACAGTCATCCGGTTCTTTATATCTTGTGTCAATAATTGTTAGTCTGATTTAAACAACATTTCTCTCTCGCGAAGGGCTAGAAATACAAGGCCAATGACTGGATTTGACGAAACCTGCGTTTGTGAGCAACCGCTGCCTCCTTCCGAGCGGTAATTTCTAGATTCGATTTATTGAAACGCCTCCAGTGTAGAATAAAATACACCAAGTTAATGCTTGTACCATACAGGACGACAAAAAATGGTAAGAAAAATTTTGCTCGAACGTATCCAGTGAAAATGACGTGCTATGAAACATAATTGAACTGATAGTGTGTCTGGATTAATAGAGAAAACGAGGTACTACCATCCGTGTATAGTAGACCACGCAGCGCCGCTGTTTCTGGACGCACCGCTGTAAAGCCTCATAGCAGAAATTGTCAATGAATGTGCGCGGCCGAATCGGAAAAACAAGCTGACAGAAACTCCGGTGTCCGAAAGACTGGGCAGATAACACTTTCGTCAATATTACGCCATTTGTTCGGTTGACTCATTGAAAAAGTTACGAAACCGGAAATAAGCATTGTTCAATTTTTTTTAAAATTTGGGATTGAGACAACATATGTGCAATGAAACGCGGTCGTACGATGGTCAGTAATTCGGGCTGGTCGGTTGCCGAAATTGTGGACGCGATAAATGTATGATCTAAAATCTTTCCCACTAGGATTGTAGGAAAATCCCAGTTGAGAATAGAAACACGACTTGGTTTAGGTTTCCTTTGCAACCAAAAAAACGGAAACCATTCCAGTCGGGACGATAAAAAGTCTACACAATGTGACACTCAGCGTGTATTTATTCTTCTGTAGGTCACGTTTCATCAATTCGGCGTTGGTTAGTGAGTCGGGGCGTTTGCATCTTTGTTGTGGATATTTTTTACATGTTCCTCAAGCCCATTCTGTCGACAGCACGTCTTGCCACATTGCTCATGAGTGTATGGAACTTGCGTTTCGTGCTGTGTTCTTATATGGCGATCCAAATTCCATTTTCGGGAGAATTCCGCCCCTCATTCCTTGCATCGTCGATGTTTTTCCTTCCAGTGAACGCACCGATGGTGCTGAAACAGAAAGCTCCAAGTTGCAATGCACCTTCCGCATTCGGAACATGTGTTTCAATTTCCGTGTGACTCTTTCGCCCGTTTGCTGGATGTACTTCCTCGTCTGTGAAATCCAAAAATATCGTACCTCTTTATATTTTCCCTTGTATACCGCTTGCTCTTGAACGATATTTTGTACACACCGCAGTAAAAGTCGAAAGTTCCAGCGTGCGTCGCTGTTTGGTGCGTCCTAGCCTCGAACAACAAAGCGAATCATTCCCGGTGTAATAAACACGCATAAGGTTCTTCCTGGTCTGCTCGTTTTTCGGATCATCCGGCTGAACTATGAGGGAACATTTGTTCCCCGTTCCCTTTGTTGGCTGTACTTTGTTTTCGACTGCTGCTTAAAATTGAAAGAGGTGAAGAAATCGATATCAGTTTCAATAAATTTGTATAACTGGCCTATGCTGTCTTTAAACGCAAGAGTGCAAACAGCATTGGAAAGGGACCTTGGAAAGTTCAATCGAGCCCTTGTCTTGTGAGTGCACTTTCTCAGTGCCAAAAACTCGGGAAGCACTTCACAACTATTTCAGCCCTGCTGGTAACTATGAGAAGAGCGGATATCACGATTTGCGCAATGGTGCATTCAAGCAACCACCTGATCACCACTGAACGCCAAACCGTTTGATGGCAATCAGCTCTTCCATGGTTTCTGCGACTCACTTTAGGACAGCACGCAGTTCCACCTGTTCCTTAAGTACGACATGAGTTTGCCATGGCCGCATTTCCACCAGCAACAAGGTTTGCCACTTTTCATCTGGAATGAACAATCAATTCATACCAAATGACAGTGGGTCAGCATGAGTTCCTTTGTGTATATAAACTGAATATCTCGGGATGACAAACGGGAGAATACAGCTAGTTTCTTCTGGACCGGATTAGTCTATTGCAGCTGTTCAGTTCACTGATGTTACAACTGAATTTCGGTCCCAAGTTATGTTTGCACCAGACTGAGGATTTTGTCTAGATGGAAGCCATGTTTCATTGTTCCTCGTTCTACTCAATCTGCGCACCTCTGTTCCTCACTGGACATTTCTAAGGCAACGCGGATGCAAGGTGTTGAATCTGAAAATGTGTTGTCGACAAATAATTCGACCGGGACAGTGTCGCACACAAAAAACGCCAAAACTGGGTGTGTACATCACAACTTGTTTCCTCCAAGGGTGGGTGTCTAAGCGTGACATCATTTNGTTCGCTACTTTTCATCTGGAATGAACAATTAATTCATACCAAATGACAGTGGGTCAGCATGAGTTCCTTTGTGTATATAAACTGAATATCTCGGGATGACAAACGGGAGAATACAGCTAGTTTCTTCTGGACCGGATTAGTCTATTGCAGCTGTTCTGTTCACTGATGTTACAACTGAATTTCGGTCCCAAGTTATGTTTTCACCAGACTGAGGATTTTGTCTAGATGGAAGCCATGTTTCATTGTTCCTTGTCCTACTCAATCTGCGCACCTCTGTTCCTCACTGGACATTTCTAAGGCAACGCGGATGCAAGGTGTTGAATCTGAAAATGTGTTGTCGAAAAGTGATTCGACCGAGACAGTGTCGCACACAAAAGGACGCCAAAACTGGGTGTGGACGTCACAGCTTGTTTCCTGAAAAGGTGGGTGACATTATTTAAATTCAAAAGGCTTCGATTTTGGCCACAAAACCGCAGGATAATTCCTCCTCCGCAAACACTGCGTGCTGGATAACAATTCGACAAATTAGTGCTACTTTTGCTTACATGCTTCCTGTGAAATTCTCCGGGACATATTTGGCAAACATTCTCGTTTACAATCCACTCTGGATTGGATTCTGGGGGAGAAATTTTCAAGCGATTTGTCGTGAAAAGCCCACAACGAAATCTTACGGCAGGCAAGATAATTTTGGCAAATATACTGAGGAATACCTTTGTTCCGCTCTGCCATACTCTGCGATAAATTTTACTCTGAAGTTTGGAAAAGAGGAATACTCAGATAACAATGAAAGACATGCAGGTTCTCTAGATAT